CCAACAGGGGGTGTAACCTTGGATGGAATAGTTCCCTGTGGCTCAGGGCAATGTGCAAATGAGGGATGCAGCTATGAGCTGTCAGCAGCTCATGTTCCCACCAGCTGGGTAATGAGCATATTGGCCTCAAGAGCCTGAGCAGAGCACCACTGTATCCACTCCTGGGAGTTTGTAATCACATTTGTGAGCTCCTAGAGCTCTCTTTTTATATCTCTCTTTTGTTAGTTGCCCCTCAATGCAGGGAAGAAAAGTCCAGAAATGGAAGTCAGGAGAGAGAGATTCTAGCAAGACTCCTGCTGTGTGACCTTAAGTATGTCACCTAAATTATCCTGGCCTCAGGGCTAGCAAGGAAGTTCAATAACAGTTCTTCAACATTTATATTTTACCAAATGCTCTAACATCCACTCTAAATTGGACCAAAGTCTAAATCAAATGAGATAATGGAGATAGAAATACTTTGAAGAGTTAGAAGCACAATACACATCTAAGAGATTATGCAGCACAATACTTATGACTATGTTGACTCATTCCACCAATATTTATTAAGCATCCATTTTGTGCCAAGCCTTATCTTAGTTGTTGGAGGAATAGAGATGCATTAAACATGGTCCCTGCCTGCACCTTTGCACTGTTTTTAAGAAAGGGAAAAGACATGCCAAGAGAGTTATAAACAGGGCAGTAAGTTGAGTGAAAGTTGAGAGAGCAGCTCAAGGAGCCAGAGAGGGGTTCAATGTAAAGCTTCATAGAAACTGAAAATTTTATAAGTAGAAAAAGTGAAGTGGGTGAAGTAATCCATGCCTGAAACAAGATAGGGACTGTGCCTATCTTGTTTTCTTCAGTATTCTTAGAGCCAAACCTATTGCCTGACGTTTAGGTACTTAATAAATATTTGTTGAATGAATGAATGAGTAATAAATCAGGAGCAGAACTGTTAGCCCTCGGCTTTCCCACACAGCTCTTTGGAGAAGAATATAAATAATCTCCTGTTCCCAATTGAGGGAGATACACCAATGATTCACATTAGATCTTTTTCTAGAGATTAAAACTTCCTAATCTCTCAGCAGATTCTGTGGCTGGCCTCTTGCTTCCCTTTGTTCCCAATGTTAAGAGTCCAGGCTACAGAGACTCAGGGATCCTCACCCAAGAGGTGTGTCAATTAGTTTATTATTCACGTAAGCACTGTGACAATGCCTTGTCTTTTTTTTTTTTTTTTTTTTGAGGCACCTTGGTTGGGATAGGAGCTGGGCAGGGATGAGATTCTGCCTACTCGATTCCTTAAGGGGAAAAGAGAGGCCAGTTACAATGGCTGCTGGGAGAAAGGATCTAATGTGACTCCCAAAACTCTAGTGGGCAGAATACGGGCTTTGAATTCAAGCAAGTTTGTGTTAAAATCTAGACAGCTCAACATATTAATTAAGTGAATTAAACAAGCTATTTCACCTCTGAGCGTCTGCTTCCTCATCTATAAAATGAGGATAAAATAATAATTACCTCAAGAGTTTTTAAAAAGGTGAAATAAGGTAACATGCAAATTCTCAGCACAGTGCCTGTCAGAGATTCCTTGCTCATCAAATATTAGTTTTTCTTCCATTTTCTTCTTGTTCACTACTGACTCTCCTGCTTCCAGGAGGTCATTCTCTGTCGCAATTTAACCACTGCCACAGATGGGTTCTCTGATTTCATGCAGGTATATCATGTTCTTAGATTCTTAGTGGCACCTGGAAGAGGATTCTGTTTCCTGCACAAGGTTGGCTGAATACATTGCTTTGTCTATTTCCCCTTTGCCTGAACCAATGTCTTAGATATTACCATTTCAATGAGTACCAGAGGAGAAAAAAAATGAACAAAAGCGATACTCCCAGTTATATCTACAAGAGTCCAACCCCATCCCCCAGAAAACATGATCGAATCATAGTAGCAGCACTTCTTCCTTCTTGGCAGGCTATGCATTTTTTGTCCATGACCAGTCCTGGGAAGGTTGAGGAGGGTGGGGTGAAGACTACTAGCTGTTCACCAATATCCATTTTTTCCTTCCATAGCAATAGAAATGTGGCTGAGACACGACTGCTCAAATAGGAACCTCATTTGCCAGCGCCCCTTTAGCCAGTTGTGACCACATTACTAAGCCCTCATCAATGGATATGAGCAGAAGGCTTGTATGTAGCTTTTGCCTTGTTTATTGAAGGGTAAGTCTCTGGCCCTGGATAGCCACAAAAGGTGGTGCCAGTTCTGTGATGGAAATTGAGCTTTCGAGCCTTCCTGAGGAACCAGGCTGTTGCTAATCTCCAACCAAGACAACTTCCTTGTTTAGCTTTTCCCCACTGCTCTAGCCTGAACTAGCTCACAGGTACCACCCTTTTCCAGAGAATAGCCCTCAGCTGATGAGAAACTCCTTGCATCCCTCTTCTTGTTCCTGCTCCCCACCAGGGTGGCCCATAACCAATGACTGACTGATACAGAGGCATAAAAGGGCAGCCTCCTTGCCTCGAGGGCACGTAATCCTGCTGTGTGGTTTCTGCCCGAGCTGTGTACAATTCCCTGAGGATCAGGCCAGGGCTAGACATGACCTGAGACACCCTCGTTTGGCTCTTCTCCTTTCCTACCTACTTCACTCTCTCCCTTGCAGCTTTCTCTGAAAAATGCTTCCTCAGTTAATGCCTATCTCAGGCTCTGCTTCTAGGGAACCCAACTGCAGTCTACTGATGTCGATACTCTGCCATCATTTTCCCAGTCACTTTCCCATTCATTTCTGAAGAAAACAAGATAGGCACAGTCCCTATCTTATATCAGATCAATGCTCTGGGCTGGGTGTGGTATGGTGCTGAAATTGGATGTAGGGTGCCAAAGATGAAGAACAAGTGAGCGCTATTGAAGTAATTCTAAGGAATACCTACTAAATGGGGTTGTTATGAAGGTTTTAAAAGCTAAATGACCAATGCCTGACATGTAGTAAATGCTCTTAAATATTAGGGCAGGGATTTCTTTGATCTTTTTTATTTACTTATGTATTCCACATGTGCCTAGATGAGGGCTTGGCACATAGTAGGCATTCAATAAGTATCTGTTGAATGAATGAATACTGAAGTTTGGCTTTGAGGGCTCGAGGTGGTGTGCTGGATCTGGCCAGCAGAGGGCATACCTAGTGCAGACAAATGAGCCTGTGGGCTGAAAGAAATCTTGGGATAGAACTTCCAGACGATTGGGCTGGGGTAGAGCTGGGGGGAAGGCTGAGGGGAGTACCTGCATCATAGAATATTAGAATGTTTACATTATACCACCTTAAAATCCTAGAATTTTATTTAGTCTGATCCTGGGTGGGTGTGAGATACACTGAACCCCTACCTTGTGAATTCAAATAAGTAGTGCAAGCCTGCACATCCCTGAAGTCACCCTGGTGTCTGCAGCTCCTCTTTTGAACTTGTGGACTACCCCATACTTCTCTCAGTAACTCTCCTCTTGGGTTTATGCTAATATACATTGTGTTTCTGTAACTTGCAAGCAAAAGAATGTGTGTTACTTTATTATTAAACCCTGCGAGTATAAGAACTGTGTGAAGGGGAGCCTCCTCCCTGGATGGGGACCCTGAAACCCTGAGTGGCCATACTGGGCTTGCTTCCTCTCTTCAGGAGAGTGATCTTGCCAACATTTCTGCCACCGAGCTTCCCTTGTTTTGTTCCCTTCATTCACTCTGGCCATTTTAGAGCTGTTCTATCTTTCAAAGCCCAGTTCAAATTCTACCTTTCTTGGACTCTAGTCTAGCTCTACTCAATCTCATTTCTCAAAACTCTTCAAGTATTCATCACCTGACCATTCATTCTTACACTCGATTACAGTCCATACATTAATTGGGATTTGGGGCCAGGTGGTGTCTCAAGTCCCATCCAGCTATAGACTTCTGAGTCTGTTGTCTTCCCATACATCACATCTTTTAAGCAGGTCTCTACCTTCTTCCTCAAGAAGACAGAAGGAAAGGCTTGAGTACACATGGGGCTTAGCACAGATTTTCAGGAAGTGAACATAACTAACTACTTATGGAAGCAAATGTGTTCTGTGAGCCTCCATTCAAGAAACAGATAGGCATTTATTTTTCTTTTTTCAAAGTGGAAGTAGCTCCCCCAACATCACTCATTATACAAGTAACATACTTGTGGTAAAATAAATCAAATACTACATAAAATTTTAAAGTAGAAAGGGAATATCACCCATAATCCTTCTCAAAGATAACTGCTATCCAAATATTCTTTTAGAGTTTTTGCTATACATGACTATGTATGTTTTAATAGGGCCTTCTGGAGATCCCATAAATAGAAATCAAACAAAACAGTGGGAGGTTCCAGCCTGGGATTTGTAGCTTGTAAAGTATTCACCCTCCACATTGCACATCTTAGAACCATTTGAAACTACTGATATTCAGCTGTTTTTGATCCATAAACACAGTGGTTTTATATGGTTTAACCTAATGATCACAAAGACTAGAATGTCAGAACAGGTACAACACTTAGAGACTTTCAAGTCTAACTATTTCACTGTGCTGAAGAGGGAATAAGTGACAGGCCAGTGCCACACACATTCGTGGTAGGCTCAGGGCTGGTTCTCTTTCCACTGAACCAGGTACCTGTCTATCATATTAAAAGATAGTATCTTTTAATATGATAATCTTCTAGGTGTGGTAATAATCTTGTAGAAGCAGATTTCAACTTGGTATCTGAAAATTTCTCACAGAACTCAATCAAAATGGAAGAGGCCATGTTAGAGGTAGGGAAGTCCCCGTGACTGGAGATGTGGCTGGGAAGGGCATTGTGACAACTGTGACATAGCTGGAGAGGCAGATAAACCACAGAGCTATTGAGGCTTAACATTCAGGGCCTGGCACTTATATGACTCCTTTTTAAGGTTTTAGGAGGAGCCCTAACAATATGCTAACACGGTAATATGTTTTCGTAATATTTGCAGACATGAGATAATTTTTAATATTTTTTCTTAAGAAGGGCTCCCAAGATTGTATAATTCTCAGGCCTGGATCCACTTCTGAATGGCACAGAGTTTTGAAAAGCACTGGGCAAGGAAACCTGAGTCCCTGGGTGCCAGTTTAGCCCAATGGGCAGAATGGCACTTGCCCTACTTCCTTCACAGGGGGTAAAATCGTATATGTTAAATGAGTCAAAAACAAATATAAATAAGTAACATTACTCAGATCTTCTGTCTGCGATATGGGATAATTTATCCCATATCTCATTGTTGTTGAAGATAACACACAAAAAAGAGTATCTTCCTGTTTTCATTTTCCTCTGCTACGAGTTTCTTTTCTCCTTCTTCCAGCCCCTAGTCCCCATCCCTCAGTACTCCAGCCACTGGACCAGTCATTGGTTATTATCTTTTGCTACTTCTATATATTTGTTCGTAGGGCTCCCACTGTCTATAAAGTCTATCTTTGCTGGGGAAAAAAGTCCTTATCCACAAGGCCCAGGTCTGCCTCTGTCCTCCCAGCCCAAAGAAGACATCCCTTAGCACTGTTTCTTGTCGATTTACAGACAGGAACACTAAGACCTGACATGATCTATGGCTGAGTTCTGGAGGCCCCAGAAGATAACCCTCAGGTATCTTGATCTTCAGCCATCCTGGGCCCCCTAGCATCAGATCATAGACACACGGTTCTTGATGTACACGTGGTAGGGGTCACTGCGCTTATCCACCTTGCGGGAGCGGGTGTATCCCAGGATGAGGCTGCCCACAGTAGCAGCAAATAGGAACATGACAAAGAGAATGTATATGTAGGAGTTGTCATCACGGCCGGGTCGGCTGGTTCGTCGCCCCTCAGTCAGGTTGTCTGGCCCTGGCCGGCAGAGCAAGTTGCTGTGAAGAGTGGCATTTAGAGCCTTCAGCACAGCGTGCAGGCTCTCATACCAGGTCTCAGTCCCATTGGTGGTCTCCATAGCAACAGGGATTGAAGTGGGGAAGAATTGAAGGATCTTCTGATGGAGACAGAAAAGAGAGAGGATGGTTTCTGTTACCTGCAGCTTGGATGAACCTCTTCACTTCTTCAGACCCCAGCTGAAATCCCAACATCACAGTTTACTTATCTGTCTTCCCCACTAGACTGAAAGCTCAATGAAGGCAGGGATTATGTCTGTTTTAACCACTGCTGTATATAAGCACTCGGGACAGCACTCAGCCAGTACTTGTAGAATGAAGCCTTCCTTTGCCATGTAACCCATGTTGATCTGTCCTTTCTTTGGATTCTATAAGCCACTGAGCTTTAGGCTAGAAAGACCTTAGGGATTACTTAATCTAACTCCTTTCATCTTACACACAGGGAAACTGAGGCCCAGAGAGAATAAGTGGCTTGACTATGATTCCAGAGAATGTTAGAGGTAGAGCCGGAACAGAGCCCCGCTCTTCAATGGCCAGCTCAGAGCTCCTGGACTTCCATGCCAACTCTTGGCAGGATTGTGTGGCACTGTCAGAAGACAGTCCTCAGAACTCTCCTTCAGCACAGTTCTTTTTTTATACTCCACAGACACCATTTAGGTTTGCAAATGGCTTAGGTTTCACCCTACCTGGAACAAAAGGCTGGGACATTTGACCTCTGAAGCATCCTATGTCCCAAATAGTCTTGAGTGTTCTTAGCTATCGGAGGGAAATTCTGTTGGAAAGGAGGTAGCTAGGGAAGCAGGGAGAGGCTGATAACCACTGCACGCACTGGAGAAGGGAAAAGGGTTGGGCCTGAGTAAAAGGAGCACTCAGTCTGGTTTGAGGTTTACCTGCCCCAGAAAGAAAAGATACAGCACCTCAACTATCTTGCCTCCTGATGCAAAGTCCTGTGTACCTGGCATATAACAGGTGATGATGTTTTTCCCTCTTTTCAGAGATCCTTAGTCTATAATTTAGAAAAACATCCAAGGACAGCCTTGCATCTAGTCTCTAAAAAACATGTCCTTCCCTTTAAACAAGGCTCCGCACTCATTTCCTTCAGGAAGCCTTCACTGAGTGCACCCTAGCCTTTAATCATAGTCCACAAGCTTTATCACCGCAGCCTTGCCTTTGTCCCAGCACTTACATGTAAGGCACTATGTGGCTGTCCTCTCATTATTGATAAGGGTATTAGCAGACCACATGCTCCTGGTCAGCAGGGCTGTGCCTCTCTCCCAAGTCTAGGGGACTACCCTGAATTGGCTGGGAATTCTCCTTCTCTGGTGGTCTACTCTGAGCTGGATGGGTGTTCTCCTTTCCTCAATGGTCTCCAGTAAAGATGGCCACTTTAGGGACATCTCTCCACAGTCCAAACACTCAGAGTTCACTGACTGGTTCCAAAACCCTCTCTTATCTAGATAGAGCTGTTGACCAACAGAAGTTAACAAACTTGGCTATTAGCCATAAGATCTCTTTCCCAGAAAAGATGACGGTTAGTTATGACCATGACAAATATTTGTGAACGACTCTATGAATGCAGAAGTTAGGAGGAGGAATCTAAATAATACAGCAATCACCCAGGACTGGCCCACATTTCATGCAAGGCCTTTGGGGCCCCCTCCTATCTAGCACTTGAACTACCTTATCTGGATGGAGGAGAGAAAGAGAACAAGGGCTCACTGAGTTAAGATCCAGGAGGCAGAGGTTCTCCTCTACTACCCCACTTGTCAGGCAAGAAATTTGTTCCATCTTCTTCCCTCGTGTGAGCCAATGAAAAGCAGCAGCAGCACAATGAAATTAATGGCTCGACTAATCGTTCAATTAATGGCTCGGTCATCATTTATGAAGGCCCACTCCTGGGCAGGCTCTGACCCAGTGCCTGCACTTGGGGGCAGATTGCCAGCATTTCTATAATGTAGGAGACAAGCCAGGGGCCACTGGGGCTTAGAGGAAGAAGGGGCGAATTTTTATCAGGGCTCAGAGAATATTCACAGTGATAGAGGCATTGCAGTTGAACCTCGAAGGGTTTTTAGGAAGTAGAAAAGGCAAGAAAAAGAAACAGATGAACAAAGGCATGACAACAAGAAAGCACATAAATGTTTAGAAGAGTGGAAAGTAGCACAAAGAGGTTGGATTGTAAGATGTGTGGAAGGATAAGATAGGATATGGGATGGAGAGACTGTCTCCAACCAGATTACGAAAGGCTCTGAATGCTAGATGAAAGAGTTGGAACTTTACCCTGTAGTTGGGAAGAGCTATGCAACAGTATTTAAAAATGACACAAGGATCAGATCTGTGCTTGCAAAGGACACTAGCTGCTATGTGGACTGCATTGAGGGCAAGAATTAAAGAACGGAGCCCAGTAACAAGGGTATTATAATAGTTCAGGTGGAAGATACCGAATCTTGAGGTGGTGCCATGGGGATGCCAACGTGGAGGGCAAGGACAGATGTGAGATGTGAGAGGCATCTTGGGGAGGGAATAGCTAATACAAGGGTTGAGGGAGTCAGGGGCCTCAGACAGTTTTACAGGTAGACAACAGACAGATGTTGTAAGCATCTGGAGAAGCCCACTTTGAAGGAAATAAGTTTCTTGCCCTGTTCGGGCTCTAGTTTCCTCATCTATCAAAAAAGAATAACATCAGGAATTGTTGTTCAGTTTTGCAAGATGAAGAAGTTTTAGAAAACCACTGCATGGCAGTATGAGTATGGTTAACATTACTGAGTTAGCACTTAAAAAAGGTTAACATGGTAAATTTTATGTTTTGTGGAGTTTTTTTAACTACAACTAAAAAAAAAAAAAATTATCATCCCTGTCCTGCTTCCCTCCAGGCTTGCTTGAGCATATATTTTTACTATGGTGAAGATTTTTAAAATATATTTTAATGAAAAACGTGTAAATGAAAACCTATTTTTCATTTTTGAGAAGTAAATATGTATACACAGGGCATACAATGGAGATGAAGTCTCCCTGTTCCTAGTGGCCCAGGGCTCTTTCCCAGAGCAGTCACTGTTACCGGTTTTCTTAGATACCCTTTCAAAGGGGGTTTTAACTGAGAGGGCAGAGGGAGGGCAGCCCCAGTCTAGAAGACTCACCAAATAGCAAGCCAATTCCCTGGCTCTGAGTCGGCTTCAGGAATCTTCCTTTGGACACCTTAATGCTTCTCAGCCCCTCAGCCTCTTCAGGATGTCTCTGGACACATCTGGGGTCTCAGTATTGACTTCGGGAGCTGGGAAGGTCCAGAGCTGGAAAGCAGGAGACAGGGCAGATACAGAAAAAACTTCAGAACCAGGGAGGATCGCCTAAGGCTGGGCCCCTAGAGTTGTGCAAGAGCCTTGCTTCCTCTCCTTTTCCTGCAGCAGCTGGGTCAGGCCAGCCTAGGGTTACAGTTACAGTTACAGGAACTGTGTACTGGCCAAGGGACATCTGATTGCTGTCCCTCGACTCCAGGCCCACAATATCTCAACTAGATGACTGCATGAGGAATCTCAATTTAACATGTAGACTCCTGCTCAGGGACTAGCTAATAGTGTAGCCTACAACATTCCCTTTCCCAAGGGCACTGGTATCTTAGCAGGAGCCTCTGAAAGGCTGAAACGGCCTGAGATCAAGGGAATGATGTGAGTGGCAGAACGGCAGTTGGCAGTTGGGTTGATATTTTACATAGGAACAGTCGAAGTTCCCCATCACCTATTTGGATAGACTGGGTGCAAACATGGTCACAGCAATATCTGTAGCAGAGCTCATTGTAAAAATTAAAGAAAAATATGCATTGCCTGGCACTAGATACTCCACAGACATGGTGATGGTTTTATTTTTATAGAACAGAGGCTGGCAGGGCCTTCAGAGTCCATCTGGTCTAAACCTCCCTCATTTTATAATGAAAGAAATGGAAACTCCAGGAGCTGTCTTGGTTCAGCTGCTACTTGTGTGACTTTGGGCATGTGACTTCCCTTCTCTGGACTCCAGCTTCTGTCTGCATCTGTAAACTGAAGGGGTTTTACTGCATAATGTCCTAAGTCTCTCATTAGCTCTAACATCCCAAGAGGGTACAGATCACAAAACTACACTGTGAGATTATGGGAGACTGGATAGGTTGGTGGGACAGGTATTTGGGGGGCTTTCCAGAGCCCCCTTAAATCACAAGATAGAGCTGCAGACTTTTTCCTCACAAGTTAAGATTCTGAGCCCTGGGACTGAGTTACACTTAATATTCCAGCCTAGCTAAACTGAGAACTGAATCGGTTGACTTGTTCATTTTTTCTCTTAGCAGCTCACCTGCCAGGGTGATCTAACTTGGGGAGGAGACAGACTCTGTGCAGAGAGTGGGGGACAGTGTAGGGGACAGCGTGGGCTCTGAGGCAAGATTCAGTGAGAGGAGTAAAGGTTCATGAAACCTTATTCATCCCTCAGGCCCTCCTTCCAGGACCTCTCTGAATAGACCCAGATGCTTATGGTTCTGATGCGAGGCACAAAGAAGTCATAGTTACTTATCTTTAGGTGTTGGGTTGGGGTGGGAGTGAGGACCTGGGTACAGGGGCATCCTGTTGGGTCAGGGGAAGCAGAGTGTTGATAATGGGACAGGTTGGTTCTCCGTGACCTGCTCCTGGGTCCCAAACTGGGGATTTGGCAGTTGGCAACATTGAGAATTTTGTTCCTCTTTCTGAACCCCTTGGCTTCCCTCTTCAAGACAACCACCAATTGTGACATTCATGGTGATGGGATAGACAGAGCTTTTGCTCTAGAGAGTCCTTATCTTAAAATAGGAGATAGACCAGTTAGGAAGGAAGGTGAACAGTGACTGACTGACTAAGCTGAAGGAGATTTTAACGATCATTTAGAATGTAGATTCTAGGCTAACTCTTTTTTGTAGGTGGGGAAACTGAAGCTCAGGAAGGGAGAGTGACTCACCCAAAATGACAAGGCTAGTAAACAGCAGAGTTCGGATGAGAACCCAGGTCTTGTGGGGGCGCCATTCAGGTGCTCTTTCCACTACCAGTGGGAGCATCCCCTGACATCTGAGCTGCATATCACACCAAACACAGCTTCTGGTGTCCTCGAGCATCCTCTCCTTTGACTCCAGGACTCTGCTTTTTTTTGCACTCCAGATTCTCACTACTCTCAATTGAGGATCCAGTTAGCGGGGAAGGTGGTAAGTTTTGGAGGAGTTAACCTTCCTTTATGGTCTCCTCTCCCAAGGCCTTTTCTGCTCTAGATCTTCTCCTGATCCCCTAAACAAGCCAGGTGTACTCTCTTCTTCCACATTCTGCTGCTACTATTTCCTGCATATTAATAGGTTCTCCCTAAATGTTCTTGACTTGAACTTGCCTGGCCTCTAACTTGGGGATGGAGGTGTACAGCTGTGATCTGAAGGATGAACTGGGTATCTTAGTGAGATTTTCATTCAGGTTTCTCTGGGGAAAACTGGAACTCCACCATTGGTTCTTTGGTTTCCTCATCGCTCTGTTTCAGCTACTCTTTCAAATGAGTGTTTTAAGTGCCTGGAAATGTGGGAGAGAGAAGCAGGGCAGGGTGTCACATAAAGTGAGTAGGGGATATAAAGATAACTCCTGGGACTGCACAGTTTTGCCATGGGTCCCTCTGGAGGTCTTATCACCACCATGGACTGGGGAGCTAGTGGGTGGGAGAGGAGCTGCAGGAATGGACCTTAATGTATGGTTGGAAAGAGACACAGGAATAGAATCTGAACAAGACGGGATCTTAATAATCATGTCATGGTGCAACCCACTCATTCAACCAGTGAGAAGATAGAGTCCCCCGCTCTCATCCTCCTGAGAGCAAATCATTTGCTCAAGGTTTCACAGTCTAGGAGGGGCAGAGCTAGGATCAGAAACAGGCATCCCATCCACAGATCTTTCCACTATAAGTTCTCTGTTGCCTGTGGGACGGTCTAACCTTCTGATTATCATTCCATACTCCTTTGGAGGTGATCCTCCCTCTTACCATACCTTACCAGTTTTCCCCAGTGCCCTGTGCCCCATGGTTCTGAGCTATAGGCCATTCTCCAAACATTCCCTGCACTTGCACACCTCTTGCCTTTGCTCATGCTGTTTTCTTAGGCAAGAACACCCTTTCTCTTTTTACCTGCACGGCGAACTCTCGTTCATCCTTCGAGACCCAGCTCCAATGTTATCTCTCTAGACCTTCTTCTGAGAGACCCCCTTCCCCATTCTCCAGCCAGTTAGTCCCTGTTCCTAAAGTGCTTCACATAAAACCATATAAGAGCAGCATGCTGCACTGAAATTATGTGTATGTATCTATATAGATTTCAACAGATATAGATATATATGTTAAACTGTGCACTGTGAGATACGAGGGCAGGGACCCGTGCCTCATATATTTCTTTATTACTTTGGTCTGAACACATAGCAGGCACTAGAGAATAAATGAATCAATGCCTCTTATTATTAGACCATCCCCCTTCAGCACACACATACACATTCATGAAAACAGCTTATAGTTCTTAAACAATTTCAAGGGCAGGCCAAACAGATTCTATTTTGTCTGGGCAAGAGGGGGCTCGAAGAAAAGAAGCCATCTCAGTCAGATGGGGAAGTGAGTCAGGGAAGGAGGAGTTCTAAGCCCAAACGTTCCCTGCACCTGAACCCCATTCAATCCAAAGGGCAAACATTCTTGGCCCCAAAACACTGGCAGTGGCTTTGCAACCCTCTTTCCTGTGTACCTACCCAGGGTGTGGCTACGCATACCCACCCACTGCACATACACAGTCCAACTCCCAGTTACCCAGCCTGTGATCTTGCCTTTCAAGTGTTCCTTTCATGGTTCCAATCTTGGCTGTATGCTTGGCTATGTGACCTTGAGCACTGCACTTATTTCCTCTGAAACTCACCTATGAGATGGGGATAATTACCCCTAATTACCCCACATGGGAACTGGGGGAGACAATAAAAAGTAACGTGTTTCAGAAATTGCAAAGTATTATATAAACATGAGATAATTACTGGGCAGCCTGACCACCTTGTTTCCTTTTCTGTTTTGTTATCTACCTACCCACCCCAATATTACCAGGAACAACTTTTCCTATGTTCCCTCTCCCCACCCTTGGTTCTCCTACCTTCAGAAGAAGCCAAAGGTTCTTATTATTCTTCTTGATTCTCAGACACCCTTACCTCCGTCAGAAGCCTTCCTTGTTTTGCGTCCTCTCTGATCAGCCCTGCAGTCTCTTTCCATTTGGGGATAACATTCTATAGTCCTGTAATTGACAGAGAACACACTAAGGTGGGAATCAAGAGACCTGCCCCTATTTTGTCAACATGTGTAGCCATGTGTTTTGGTTGTAAGATTCCATTCCAACCTCAGTAAGATTGTTTCTTGTTTTGCCTTCCTCTTAGTAGGTATCTTGAGCATCCACCCATTCAGTTTGTGGCGAGAAATGTGTTTTGAGAATTGTGGAGCGAGTAAAGATGAAGAAGGTTGTTGGTTATAATCTTAAGAAGTCAAAATCTGAAAGCACTTTCTATGGCTCCAGCATGGGTCTCCTCCATTTGGAGAGACAGAGCAGCTGGATGCCAGAGCTTACGCACTTACATGGCACCTTTGTAGGTGAAGTGGAGCCCTGGGCTAGGGTGTGGAGACTTGGTCCCAGGTATGACCCTGGGCAAGTCATCTCTCCCTGGGCCTCGGTTCCCACATATGCAAATTGGTGAGCAGTAGGTTGATGGGATGGGAGAAGATACTCTCCATGGGCTCTCACACAAGGGTCTAAATTCATCTACTTTCTAGACAAGAGACTTCCAGGTCTAAACCCCTTGGCCCTCATGGGCCAATTGAGTGCACGGGCGACAGGACCCGGAGACTCATTTTATGGGCGGTGATCCTGGAGAAGAAAGCACACGGCATGAAGGCGGTGGGCTACTGGCACAGATTTACAACCTGTAAACTAGAACCCAGATCTCCTGGTTCCCAGTTTAGACCTATGTTATTAGCAGCAGAAAATGCCTATGGGAATCCCCAGGCTTTCCCCGGGCCAGCAGTGCATATAGGGAGAGGGGCTCAATGGTCAAGTCAACTCTCCAGATCAAGCCGCTCCGGCCAAGCCAGAAGCTGCGCTGGCTTCCAGAGTGCCATTTCTGCGTGGGCTCTCGCGACGGACCCACACGTGCTCGCTTGCATATCTGTGGATGTGGAAGGAGCTTTCGCGCCGTTTCGCGCCGCCCTCCACAAGCTCCCATGGTTTCCAGGCAGCGCGAGGCAGGAGCCCAGCTTCGAACTCCCACGTGCGGCCCCGGGATCCCCGCGTCTCCGTCCTGGGAAGTATCAGCTTTTTGTCTGAGCCGCCCCCACCTCGGGTCGGCGGTCTCGGGGGAGGCGAGAAGATCGCTCAATTCTACCCCCGGCGCCAGCTCAGCGGTCCAGACCCTGCGGGTGCGCTTTACCTGCCTCTCCGCAAGGCTCCGAGGGGCGCGGGTCTGCTCGTCGGACACCGCGCGGTGTGCTGGAGGGGGCACCCGCACCGCGCCCTTCGCTCCGCAGACCACTCTGTATGTAACCCGCGCCCCCGAGGCTCTGCGCTCTGACCCGCACTTGGCTCGCTTTTCTCTTCCCTAGGGCGTCCGCTCTCCTGGCCCCGCCCGGCCCTCAGCACACCCCCTTCTCCCCAGGCTGGCTTCTGGCGCCTCCGCCCAGCTGCGTGGCCTCACCCGGCTGTAGGCTCGATCCTTCCGTCCCCTGCAGCGCCTGCTTCCTGGACCTGAGACTGAAAACCTCTCGCTTCTCTTCAGCTTGCCCAGCCTGAGGCCAGTCTCCAGAAAGCGAGGCTGAGTGTTGGGTGCTGCTGAAATCAAGGCTTTGCTCTCAATGGCTGCGTGGTGGTGGACAAGTCACTGCTTCTCATGAGTCTTGACTTCCTTGCTATAAAATAGGTACAATTCGTGTATACATTCTTCACAGGGTATTGGTTTGGGTCAGATGAGATCTTAGAATACAAAACATTAAAGCCGGTTGGTCACTGGAGAAATAATCTGATTCTAACACAGAGGCCCAGTTTGGGGAAAGGACTTGCCTAGACTCACCAAGAAAGATAGTGACAGAGCTCAGACTCAGAATCCACTACACCACTCTCCTTCACCCCAATTGGTGTTTCCTCCCTCCAAATCTCAATAGTCCTTCACTTGCTCAGACAACTGGTGCCAGCACACCTCCAGAAAAGAGAAACAGCCAGGGGCAGCTGAAAATGAGGGCCAGGAGGCTATAGTCAGGGGAGTGGACAGTGTCAGGGAAGGGCCCCTCAGGGACTCTGTAGGGAGTCCTTATCAGATCCCTCGTTACCAATCTATGGCCTTGGGATAATTAATAATAAACAGGCCAGCTCTTGCTCCCTTACAAAGATCCATTCCAGGACATTTGAGACACATACTCTCAATCACAGAATCGCAAATTATATCTAAGAAGTGCTATCATTTTTAAAAAACCTGCCACATAGAGGGAATTTGTACAAAATTGCTAACCTTCATCAAAACAAATTACTTCCGTGTTATTTCTGTGGTTGCATATTTTGACCCAACTACTTTTTTTTTGTTTTTTTTTTCAGTCTGCGTATCACCTCTCAGGGAAGTCATCCTAAGCCTGGGCATGCAGTCTCAAATTTCATTCTAAGACTCACCTTGGTACTCATTTTAGTAAAGTAGACTTTTGGGTTCAACTCCGGAGGTACTGATTCAGGAGAAATGTAGGCCAGAAATTAGCATATTTTTTTCTTTTTTAAAAAAGATTCTCAAACAATGCTGATGCAAGTGGTTCTTGAGACCAGCCTTGAGGCAATTCTGTTAGGGTTCTTTCCCACATCCTGTTCAGGGCCTTATTTACTCTATAGGACTATTATTACAGTATCAAAAGTAACAATTTGCCCACCTTATCTACTAGATTGTGAATTCTTTGAAGTTAGGAATTATCTCTTATTCTAATGAAATTTTAGAATCATAGTCTTAGAATCACACGAACTTCTAGAGTTCTAGAATCATTTAGTGGTAGAATCTGAGTTGGAAGGAGTTACTTAGTCAAATTGCTTTCCCTAAGAATCCCCTATTTTTAAATGAAATTGTTCAGCTTCTCTTGCACACTCTCGTTATAGGAAACTAATTGCCTCTGAGGCAGCCCCGACTCTGATTGTTAGGCTGTCTTCACATTTTGACAAAAACTGCCTCCTATTGATTTTTAATCTTTGGTCTTTGTTGCCTTTTTCAGTCCTTCTGAAACTTAAGGCTTATCCTCTACTTCCCCTTCTCTGGAGTGAGGCTGGGGCAGGAACCCTATTGCCGAAGGCAGCTGGTCAAGGAGCCATTGGAAAGTGGACTGTACTGCCTCATTTTCCCATTCTGTGTCTTGCAGGCTTGCTATTAGGCTAAGTTGACCCAATGTGTATAACCCAAGAACTGGGCCTAGCATGACTCATGTGCTTCATAAATGGCAGCTTCTATTATTAATAGATAAGGAAAAGAAGGATGAAACAGAATTCCTATTCCAGGGAGACCACAGTCCGAGAAGAATCTTCAAGGAACTCTCTAATCCAAAGAAGTTTGGGACCAGGCCCTGACCTTGGGACAGAGTGCACAGGGGAGAGCAGTGGGCTGACTGGAGGGGTTAGAGGAAGACTCATCTAGAGATAAACCTCCTTCTTTGCTTAAGTACTGACTTTTTGGTGAGGCCTTCCCTGACCATCCTATTTACAAATTCCCATCCCTCCCTTTTCTTGTCTTCCCTAATCTCCTTCCCAGTCATGTTTTTCAGTAACTTCTAATATCATCTGATACATTTAACTTATTTAAAAAAAAAAACCTTTTGCTGTTGTTGGTCTTGCTGCATCCCTCAACTGAAGTTCACAGCTCCTGTCTGTCAGCCCAATCTCAGTGATCTCCTCAGCTCTGGATTCCTGTAGCCACACCCCCTTTCTCTCCCTTTAAGGCCTGGGGCAATAATAATACCCAAATGTTTCAAGCCCTAGGGTACTTCATGACCTCTTCTGGTTGCCATAATCCCTGCCCACCCCTGAATAGAATCTCCTCAAACTACTGACATGAAATGACCATCTGCTTCCCGCTAGTCCTGGCTGATACAGAGGCCCATTCTGCTATAACCTCTTGCTCTTCCCTTGACCATAGCACTTACCATTCTGTGTTATAACTATCTATTCTATTTTTGACTCCACACCTGGAACATAAGCTCCTTGAGGGCATTAAGCCAACACTAAGCCTACACAGAGTAGCCCTTACTGAGAATTTGTTGAATGAATGAATGAATGAATGAATGAATGAATATCATGAAAGGGAAGATCACTAGGAATTGTGTTATCAGGGAAAGCTTCAAAGAAAAGATAGACCTGAATACCTGGAAGGATAACAGGATGCTTTTTCAATCTCTAGACCAGACCTTTCCTCTGAGCACTAGACTCCTATATCTACCTACCTGACATCTCTGCTGAGATAATACATTGAGGCTGGAACTCTTGACTTCCTTCCCTGGCCCCCCTCAGTTTTCTCTGTAAATGGAACCATCATCCATCCAGTTCTCTTGTTTTCTTCATAGAACTCAACCCAGTCTTCTACCTATCTGTGTACTGATTTGGGGTCTGCCTTTTTCATTAGACTGTAAGCACTATGAGAATACAGACCAGGTGTCTCTTTTTACCATAGAATACCCAGGATGTAACCCAATATTTATCTAGAAGGTTGGAAGGTTGGGTGAGATGGTGTCTGCGAACAGTCTCAGAAGCTTGGGTCACCAGAGGGAAATACAATGTGAATCACAGAGGAAGTTTAACGATCACATCTAGTTATTTTTTCCATTACTCATCAGTGGCCTGAGTCTGCACTTCTGTGATCTTGTCTTCTCTTGGCTTGTCAGTTGTGACCCTCAGGACGCATTGTCTTCTCATTCTGTGCTTCAACTTCTCCTGCCTCTGCAGGAAGCTCAGAACAGTGAAAAGAGCACTGGAAGAGGTGGACCAAGGGTGGGATGGTGTGATTGTCAGAAGACTGAAGATCTAGGTGGCTCTTCTCCCCCATCTCAGCCTCACACATACTGTGTCCTGGAAGCAAAGTGGCACAACAGTCCAGAACACGGCCTCTGGGGTCCCACAGAACTGGGTTTGAATCCTAGCCCTGCCACTTATTGGCTGTGAGAGCTTAACCTCTCTGAGTCTTAGTTTTATTATCTGTAGAATGAGGATTAAAAAACCCTACATTTTATAGTAAGATATATGTAAAGTGCTTCACCTGGTACCTGGCACATAGCTAGTACTCCATAAAAAATAACTATTAATGAGGGTATGTGTGTTCATGTGGTTCATGGTGTGTAAATATGGATTTTTGAACCTTATGGTTTAAACAATAAGGGCTATGGGGATATAGAAGAAAGTGGTGTCAGCAAAGATTAGGGTTTGCAGAGGAGGTAGGTGTTATCAGTCAGGAACATTAGTTGCAACTCGAACTTACTTAAGTAGAAAAAGGAAATTATTGGCTCATGTAATTGCAAAATCTGGAGGCACTGGCTTCAGGATGGCTGGATCCAGGAGCTCAGATTATGTATTGGGGAAGCTCTTTCTTTGCATTTTCATCCTCTACTTTTCTCACTATTGCTCCATTCTCAGGCAAGATCCCACTTTGTGGCCACCTAGAGTTCTATGCATATACTCTATCCTATCAGTAAAACCAGTAGAAAAAGCTTCTGTCCCCCACAATCCTCCCAACAGAAGTCCTGAGTCAGATTCTTATTCTTCTGAAACAAGCCCAGTGCCCATCCCTGCACCAATCATAGAAGTTAGAGAAAGAAGCTGGCAGGAGCAACATCTCTATTCAAACCACATAAACTTGTGTGAGAAAAATGGGTGAAGGACGTCAAAAGGTATAAACTTCCAGTTATAAAATAAATAAGTGATGAGATGTAACGCACAGTTTGGTGACTATAGTTAATAATACTGTGTTACATATTTTGCACAGTTTGGTGACTACAGTTAATAATACTGTATTACATATTTGAAAGTCGCTAAGAGACATCTTAAAAGTTCTCGTCACAAGAAAAAAATTTTTGTAACTATTTGTGGTGACAGATGTTAATTAGACTTACTGTGGTGATCATTTCACAATATATACATATATCAAATTATTATGTCATATACCTGAAATTAATATTAATGTTTTATGTCAATTATAGCTCAATTAAAAAAAAACATAAACTTAAAGCAGGTGGAGTGGATTATAATTCACTAAGGAAAATTTGGATGCTATTATCAGAGTAGAGTGAATAGCTATACAGGCTGAAATAAGTATCCTCTACAGGGGGCCTTGGAAAACAGCAGGTATGATTTGGGCAGACAGAGAAGAGGGAGGAAGGTACTCCAGAGGGAGGAAGGTACCCTTGTCAGAGTGGCTAGAGCAAATTGAGAAGAGGCAATAAATATGCTGTGAGCACAGCTTACAACTTTGAGGCAGAAGAAGCAGGTAAATTCTGTGGAGTCTTAGAAGACCTGGGGCCACGTGGGCTTGGGGAGCGGGGAGTCACAGGACCCAGATCTCTGCTCACTGGGAGTTTGGAACAAGCGGCTTTTGGTGGGAATGAGCGTCTCATCACTGGAGGTGTGCAAGCAGAGCTTCCTTCCTTGTCAGAGTGGCTATTAGGGAAGGCTTCTAGATGAGCTCTGAGATCCCTTGCATTCCCCAAATCTGAAATTCTATAGCCAGGAAATCAGCTCCTGATTCCCACCCCTTCTCTCTCTTCTAAACTCCTCTCTAAGGGGAATGTTACATCCTTCTCATTAATTTGTTTATGGGGTGTCTGAAACATTCTGGATTCTTATTCTGGCTTCTATAGCAAATGCGGGACCTTGAGGGAACCACTTATTCTCTCTAGGGCTGGTTCCTCCCTGCAGCACAGAAGGAAGTTAAATTGTCTGATTTCTGGAGCCCCTGCCGGCTCCGGCTCCTCCGTCAAAGACTCCTGGGGAGGGACAGACACACCCAAATTCTCAAGCCAAAGCCAACCAGGTGTGTTGGCTCTGCAGCATCTCACCCTGGCTGTCTCATTTGATCCTTTCACTTGACCTGTGAAGAGTGGGAGTGGGAGTGTGTTTAATGCACAAGACTTTAGAGTCAGACTTGAGTTCAGACCTCGGGCCTGCCTCTAACTACTGAACTTGGGTAAATCTTAACCCAAGCCGGTTTCTGAAAATATGGTCAATAATTCAATCTTGTGGATTTATTATTTGCTGTGAAGGTTAAATAATATGTGTAAAGTGCTTAGAATAGCCCTGGGCCCTCATGAGTTGGGCTGGAGAAGGGTAAGTGTGGTGGAATTGAGTTTAGTTGAATGAGAATAGCTCCTCACAAGCACCGAGCATTTCACAGGGCATTGCACCCCAGTCTAGCTTTTGACTGCAGATTAGGGCCTTGTGTCAGTCAGAGTTTTGGCTGGAAAGAGATGGCACCTCGAAACTGGGTAATTTGAAAAAAGTGTGAGAGAAGGTTTGGGAAACCAACAAAGAATAGTGTGGGTACACATGGCTAGCAGTGGTGGGGAGGGAAACTACTATGAGGCTGAGAGGGCGAGCCGAGGAAGGGGCTCCTGGAAGCAGGAGAGGCATTGGGTTAGTCATGAGTCAAGGCTGCTCCCAGGGGACATTAATCCCCCAGCACGCCCCGCTTGACATATAGATGGACAGATCCCTCCCCTTACCTCCACATAAAGTCCTCAGTTAGCAGGTGCTGGTGCTGGCATGTGGAAATAGGCCTACAGCACTGAAATGAAGCAGGTATGATATTGTGATTTATAATAAGAAATATATATTTGTTCTTGTTCTGTTCCTGGCATAGAGCTCCTAAAAAAACTTTGGAATTCCTTAAGTGACAAAGGTGTCTTTTATTATCTTAAAGGGGTGACTTTTGTAAAGCACCTGAGGTTTGGTTGCCAGAGGAGTCAACCATGTGATTTGTTTCTAGGAAGGGTAGAGGGGCTGGAGGTTGAATCAGTCCCGTATGGCCAATGATTTAATCAGTCATGCCTATGCTCGAAGCCTCATTAAAAAACCAAAAGGACGGAGTTTGGAGACCTTCTGGGTTGATGAACATAAAGAGATTTGTGAAGAGTGGTGTGCTCAGAAAGAGCACAGAAGCTCTGTGCCCCTTTCAGCATACCTTGCCCAGTGCATCTCTTCCATCTGGCTGTTCCTGAGTTATATGCTCTTATAATAAACGGGCAATCTAGTAAATAAATTGGTTTCCTGAGTTCTGTGAGCTGCACTAGCAAATTAATTGAACCAGAGTAGAGGGTTGTGGGAACCTCCAATTTACAGCCAGTTGGTCAGAAGCACAGGTGACAACTTGGACTTGTGATTGGTGTCTGAAGTGGCGGCAGTCTTATAGAATGGAGCCCTTAACCTGTGTGATCTGACAATGTCTCCAGGTAGATAGTGTCAGAATTGAGTTAAATTGTAGGACACCGGTTAGTGTCCACAGAGAATTGGAGAATTGCTTGGTGGTTTAGAAAAACTCACACAAATTAGAAATGGGGAGGCCAGGGTGTGAGGAGCCCCTGAAGCACCTGCTATAGTCTGGAGCAAGGCAAGCATTCAAGTTCCCTGAATAGCTTCATGCCTTTGAGAATTGCATGCTTCTCCCTCTGCCTGGAACATGCTTTGTAGTCTTGCCTGTCTTCAAATTCCTTACTTATCCGTTGAGATTGTGGCTATCTGATATCTTGGCCTGCCCAGAATCCCTTCTTTTGGGAACAGAACCTCTCTCCTCCCTTTGGGGGACCACCTCTCCCTCCATTTCTCTCAGCCCATGTAATTTAGATACGGCTAAGCCCTACCTGATGGTTCCAGGAGTGCAAAATGATTGGCTCAGAGTCCTTCCTGGGACTTAGGCTGACTGTATATGAAAGTAGGGGTGGCTAACGCCATGGAATCTAAGCATGGTACTACCAACAGCCATCTTGGGTACCACACAGGAGAGAGTGAAGCCAATTCTGAGGTAAGCAGAGCTAAAGGATGAAGGAAGAAAAATCAAGTCTTGTTGCCACTGTTTGAAGCCTTGGATTGCTCCGTGCTTGATGTCTATCCCCAGACTTTTTAGTTATGAGATCTAAGATATTCTCTTTTCATTTGAACTAGTTTTAGCTGGGTTTTCTCTTACTTATGATCCAGAATTCTAACAAATTCAAAGTCACTTTGAGCCTTTTCTGCCCTTCCTGTCTTAAGATTTATCACTTCTGCTTTCACATTCCCACAGTACCCTGCAAACTTCTGTCATGGTACTTGTAAGAGTTTATTACAAATATTGTTTACAGATGTGTCTCCTCTACCAATCTGTGAACCCTTTGAAGACAAGGACCAAGTCTGATCCATCTGTTTGTTCCAAGGGCCCAGCACAGGCTGATACACCTCACACTGGCCAGACTGCATGAGGCATGTTGTTATCTTCAGTTCCCAGCAAGACAGATTAAAGGGCACATTAGCCATTGGAGCCTTTTGAGATGAAGGCAGTGGTGTGGTGTCTGGAAGCCACGTTCTGTGAAGAACAGAAGAAGAATCAGGAAAGCTTAACTTGAAGAGACCACTACTGGGAGAGAATTCATTCGCTGACTCAATAGACCATTTCTGGGCACCTCCTCTATCCCAGGCCCTGGTCTGGGGCTGAGAGAGCCACAGATGATGGAGCTACAGTCCCTGTCTGGGGAGCTCACAGTCTGGATAGGGTCAGACATGGAAACAAGTAACTGCAATACAGTGTGGCCAGTGCCACACGAGGGGGAAGTAGGGCATGGCCAGGAGAAGCCTCTCAAAGAAGGCCTAGAAGGAGGGCAGAATTATGACAAAGCTGGGGACAGGTTTCAGTTTAGAATGAGGAATAACTTTCTAACAATCAGAATTATGCAAGAATAGAAAGCTGCTTGCTCCATATCTGGAGATGTGTGAGCAGGGCTGAGTTGATCACTTCACAGACTGGATATTGATATCTGTCAACAAAAGAGCCAATGTGGAGGCTGCAGGGAACTCCTCATAATAACACAGTTATTAAACCACTGCTTCCTCTTAAGTGCTAAGTACTGGGATACGTAGACAAAGAAAATTCCCTGGCTTAGAAAAGCTCACAGGTTAGGTAAATTGAAACAGTATAACACTACGGCCTTATATCAGTGTCTCTTGAATTCGAATAGTGTATAGACCTTTTTAAAAGAGAAAAATTATTGAGGTACTCAGTGCTGACAATCTAAATATGTTCAAATTTAAACACAGTATAAACTCCTGTAAATGCAACTGTAAAAGTATATCTTTTACAGAGATGATTTTTAATCAATACAAACTTTTATTGAATATGAACAAAAGTAAAAAACTAATAAAAGGCTAATAGCAATACTAATGCTACTGGTCATAACAGATTCTTTTGCACTCAACCTGCCAGTTCCATAGAAGTATTCCAGTTAGTTAAATGGAGAAGGAATGATAGAATCAGAGTTTCACATTTTGCAAATCTCTAATAAAATAATGAATCTGGGGAATGGTCATCACACACACACACGAGAGGAAAACAAAGCTATTACATTCCTCTTGACGTAAGAACACACTATCACCAATGAATTAGACTTGCCAAAAAATCATACCTGAATTAGAGCAAGAGACAGAATCTACCTTTCAATCTTCAGGAAGTACATGAGAAAAAGACAAGAAAAAGATGGAGGGTGAACCTACAGATGAAAAGAGACTAAGGGACATTTATGAGACAAATGAACCAAATGTAGTGTGTAGACCTTGTTTGTTTGGATCCTGATTTGAAAGCAACTGTAAACAAAGAAAAAAAGAAAAAATTGGAGAAATCTGAATATTAATTGAATATTTTTTGATATCGAAAAAGTATTTTTATGTGTGATAATATTATGGTTATGTTTTTTTTTTTAAGGAGTCCTTATCTTTTGGGAATATATACTGAAATATTTATGTATAAAGCAACATGGTATCTGTGATTTGCTTGACAATAATTCAGAGAAGAGGCAGGAAATGGATACCAATTGGTTTAAATAAACTAAGATCGGCCATGATTTGATGATTGTTTTAGCTGCATGATGGGTACATGGGAGTCCACTGTTGTATGATTAAAAGATTTTGTAATAAAAAAACTTTAAAAATGAAAAAAAATCTAAGATGCTGAACAATAAAATTGAGTCATTTCCCTTGTAGATTGCTGATGGGAGTATAAGTTGGTATAACTTTTATGGAAAGCAATATGACTATCTATTAATATAAAAATGCACATATTCTTTGACTTAGAAAATCACTTCTAGAAATACAACCACTGTACTATGTGTCACAACATACACACACTGATATATGAATTCTCATTGCAGTCTTGTTTGTAAAAGATTAGTAATAACTTAATGTCCTTAGTAGGGTACTAGTGAAATGTTATGATAAATCCGCTGAATGGAATACTCTGTAGTCATTTTTTTTAATGAGGATGTTCTTTGTATACTAATCTGAAGCAATCTCCAACGTGCAGTGCTGTGTGTATAGTATGCTACTACATGAAAAAAGAATGTAGGTAATCATGTATGCTTATATATGCATAAAATATCTTTGAAGTATATAAGAAAGGCATTTACTATCATCTAGGGCTCCAGCAAAGGGAACTGGGTTTACAGAGGAAAAGGGTAAGGAGCAAGACTTACATTTCAATGCCACCATTTTGTATCCTCTTAATTTTATTCCATGTGCATGCATTACCTATATATTTTTTTTAAAAATCTAAATTTTAAAAGAAATAAAAACAAAATTAAGACTTTCAAAAATATAATTATAAAGACTGTAGCAATGTGGGAAAACGTTTATAATATTATGTTTGGTTTAAAAGAATATACAAAATTTTATCCACATAATAATTAAAAGTACACAAAATGTGTCTGTTATGATCAAGTACTGGACACGAATGAAAGGGATGTGTTGTTAGGTGGGAGTGCAAGTGCCGTTTTTTTTAACTTATAGGTATTATAATATGGTACAATAATATGTACGGTAAATTACAATCTATAAAGAAAATTAGCAAAAAGACACCCAACTGGGAGAAGATATTCACTAATGATACATCTGATAAGGGGTTAATATCCAAAATTTATAAAGAACTTATACAACTCAACAACAAAAAAACAATCCATTTTAAATATGGGCAGAAGACCTAAACAGATACTTTTCCAAAGAGGAAATACAGATGGCTAACAGAAATGAAAAGATGCTCAAGGTCACTAATCATTGGGGAAATGCAAATTAAAATCACAATGAGCTATCACCTCACACCTGTCAGAATGGCTATCATCAATAAACCAAAAAGCGGCAAGCGTTGGAGAGGATGCAGAGAAAAGGGAACCCTCATACATTGTTGGTGGGATTGCAAATTGGCACAGCTGCTATGGAAAACAGTATGGAGCATTCTCGAAAAATTAAAAATGGATATACCTTTTGACCCAGCAATTGCACTTCTGGGTATTTATCCAAAGAAAAACAAAACAATAATTCATAAAGATCTATGCACTCCAATATATTCATGGCAGCACAATTTACAATAGCCAAGATATGGAAGCAACCTAAATGCCCATCAACAGACAATTAGATAAAGAAATTATGGTTCATATATACAATGGAATGTTACTCAGCCATTAAAAAAAATGAAATCCTACCATTTGCAACAACATAGATGGACCTAGAGGTTATTATGCTGAGTGAAATAAGTCTGACAGAGAAAGATAAATACCATATGATTTCACTTATATGCGGAATCTAAGGAACAAAAAGAACAAACTAATCAAAAACTGACTCATAAATATAGTGGACAATTTGATGACAGACAGAGGGGAAGGGGGTTGGATGGCTGGGAGAATGGGTTGAAGGATTAAAGAAGTACAAATTAGTAGTTGATAGCTGGGCACGGGGATGGGGAGCATGGCAGAGGGAATGCAGTTAGCTTTAATATGATGGCTAAGTGGAGGGCCAGGGGAGGGAGGGAGCAATTGGGGGAATCGTTTTATGAACAATATAGATGTCTAACCAATGTACTGTATACTTGAAACTCATTTAAATAAACAAATTTATTTTTAAAAAATTAGATTTAGATTGCAAAAATCTGATTTCCACAGGGTTTTCACAAAGAGATCTTTTCCATGAAATGAAGTGCACCTGGCCACACTGCAACCTTGCTAGAGGAATAAGGTGCTGGACCAGTCACTGCAGTTGGTCACGGCCTCACATTCATCATTTGTTCACCAGATCCCGGACAATCTGTTTATTTATGGAGGAAAGATTGCACAAACAAAAGAGGATTTCTAGAGGCAGGAAAGCCAGGGTGTTAAATATCCTCCTTCCTATGTTTAACTTCCTTCCTTGAGGAAGGGCCCCCAGCGGGAAACCGGAGATGAGTCTGTCCAGGCAGGAAGGAGTGTCAGGAATCTGCAGCAGAGACCTGACTCAATTCCACGGGCCCAGCAACAGCCAAACCCTAGCCTCCTGCTCAGCATCCTCCCCTGCTCATGGTCTACCTGTTCTTGGAGGCATGTCTCCTCCAGGATGCCTGCCCCACTCTCCCTTCAGAGGCAACTGTGGAAGGATGAAGAGACCCAGACTGGGAACCAGGGACTGACTCTGCCCCTAAGTGCATGAGCTAATTAGCTTCCCTGAGCCTTGGTTTCCATATCCACAAAATAATCCTACCTATCTTGCTGCGCTGCTGGAGGAGTGAGTGAGATTGTCATGTTTTATCATTCTAGGCCCCACCCTACTTCTACTACTTCTCAGTCTCCTTGGCCAGCTCTTCTTCCACCTGTGCCTCACATTTATCAGTCTTCTGCCTTCCTCTTCTCTCTCCGTAGGTTCCCAGACCTAATCACATTGATGCTCCAAATCCACATACCCATCCTCATCACATTGATGCTCCAAATCCACGTACCCAGTTGCAGTTAGCTCTTTCTGCTTGCATCTCCCACAAGTGTCTCAAACTTACCTAAAAGTGAACTCATTGTTTTCCTTTCTAAACTTGACCCCTCATCCAGTGTTCTGCAACTCAGCAATATTAACATCCACCCAGTTGCTCAAGCCAGAAACCTGGGCATAGTCCTTAACTCTACTCCAACATTCAGTAACAGCCATCTTCCACCATGTGGCCTGGGAAACAGAGAAAGCTGGGTGGAAGCCAGATAGAATGAAGCAAACACACCAAGAAGCCTGGAAGAGAATAGGGGGAAAAAAAGCCTATCTGGGTTCCTAAAGGGCTACATGTTCTGGTTCTGTTCTTGAGCCCAGCTGCAGCCCCACTTTTGGATTTTATGAGACCACCCAGTACATTTTCCAACTATCCTCTGTTTTCTTTGTTTGTTTGTTTTTGCTTAAGTTAGTTTGAGTTGGGTTTCTATACTTGAAAACACAAGAGTCCTAATTAATATAAACACTGTCAGTCAGAATAGGCTAGGTTATGCTGTGGTATTAAACAACCCCACATTTTGGTTGTCTTTAACTCCACCACATGTCCATCAGCAGCAGGGGGCTCTCCTCAGTGCAGTCCCTCAGGAAGCAGCCACCATCTTGTATGCTGCTGGTCACTGTTTCAGAGGGAAATAGAAATTTTAAGGGGCCTGACACCAGCAATTCACTGTTCCAGCTTAGAAGTGATGTCACCTCCATTCATAACTCACTGACCAAAACAAGTTACCTGGCCCCACCCAACCACAAGGGGGCCACTAAGTACAATCCTCCCGTGTGCCTGAAATATTTGGTGAATTACATTAATAACCACCATACATTTCCTGCTGCCTATTCTGTCCCAAGCTCTAAGCTTAATGAAACTGAGGCTCAGGAAGTTCAGCTAACTCAGCAACTACACCATACACAATGATTCCCAGTGGCCCAAAAGGATGGGAGAGACTGCTGAATTAAAGAATGTATTTAAGAGGGTTAACACAGTATCTGGTACCATTGAGTAAATGTTTGGTTCTCTCCCAGTCACTGGAGGCATTGAAGAACAGGCTGTATGTTCACTTATTAGGGTTGCTAGAGAGGGTAGCCGAGTACCAGATGGGTAGCAACACTGTGCACAGCCTTTCAACCATGCGAATCTAATTCTACTTTTCCTGGAATAATTATTTCCATTTTTGGCAATAATACTGCAAGGTAATTATTAACTACTCCCCACCTCCATACTCCTACAACAGCACTGGTGGGAAACTAAGGCCTAGAAAAGACATGGGCAAATTATGGGCGAACAAATCACCAATCAGTCAATACTGATAGAATGTCCAAGAGATGTAAAGCATATTGTCCTGAGGTCTTAAGTTGATATTTACAGTAGGAAAAGAGCATGAGAAAAAGGCTTATATCTGGGACTTATTTCTGGCTTTCTCATTTACTGTGTGTCCTTGAGCAAGTTTCTTCCAAAGTCTTGGATTCATATTTATACAATGAGGGGACAGGAATATATCTCTAAAGTCTTTTTCAGCTTGAATAACTGATATAAATTATCTGTAGTCAAAATTCAGACTTCAGATGTGGGAGGACTCACCTTTCTCCTTAGGAGTCAGTGAGGCTACAGAACCCTGGGAGCTCAAAAAGGACTTTAGATATTGTCAAAAGCTGTACTTTCTAATATGGTAGTCACTAACCAGATATGGCTACTGAACATTGAAAGTGTGGTACGTAATGAGGTGTGTTTTAACTGTAAAACACATACTGAATATCTGGATTTAGTAAGAAAAAAGGAATAAAATATTTTTATACTGATAATATTTTGAGTCTGTTGGGTTAATTAAAATGTTACTAAATGTCATATGTTTCTTTTTACTTTCTTAATGTGGCTAGTAGAAAATGTATAACTGTAATGTGGCTCACATTATACTTCTACTGGACGGTACCTGAATAAGGAGAAAACTGAAGCCCAAAGAGGATAAACGACTTGCCCAGAGCCTAGACTGGAACCAGGGTGACCTGACTTCTCATTCAAGGCTCTTTCCACCCTAACTGCCTGTGGTAGCCATTCTCCAAGATGGTTGCTAATGATCATCTCCCATCAACCTTGAGTAGTCCTTTCCATACCAAGTAGGGCTCACCTATTATGAGACTGCAGAATTGTGTGTGATTTGCAATGCTGGGTCATAAAAGACATTATGGCTTCCACCTTGTCTCTTTTTGGCATCACTCGCTCTGAGGGAAGCCAGCTGTTGGCTCTTAAGACCATTCAAGTAGCCCTACAGAGTGGCCCACATGGTGGACAACTGAACTCTCCTGTTAACAAGCAGCACCAACCAAGCATGTGAGTGAACCACCTTGGAAGCTGATCCTTCAGCCACAGTCAGGGCTTCAGATGACATCTGCCCTAGCTAACATCTTGACTGAACCTTATAACAGACCTTGACCTAGAACCACCCAAGCTTATCCCAAATTGCTGATCCACAGTATATAAGAAATGTTTATTATTTTAAATCATTTTGAAGTGATTTGTTATGCAGCAACAGATAATACACAGCCTTGTAGACTTAGAGATCTCATGTAAGAAAACCTTACTTCTATCTTTGGCATTTGTACAATGTGAGATATTATTCTTGTCTTCCCCCCAGCCTCTGGTCTTGTTCAGACTACCTAACTAAACACAGCTATTAGGCTTGGGGAATCCAACCCAGGAAGACGGGATCCAATTTTATTCTTTAAAGAGGCTTTTTGCGTTTCCCTTTATTGCAGAAAAGTGCCACATCACATCACCTTCACCTGGGCCATTCAGAGATATGATCCCTACAAAATCGAAGGAACTGGAGCCCAGAATTGCCCAATTAAATAGAGTACCGAGGAAGTAATACATAATTGAGAAATGACTCTCTATGACATCTGAGTTTCTCCAAGTTTAGAAAATGCTATTAACAGTGCTAATGCCTTATATTTATATAGCATGTTTTACTTTCATATCTACTATATCTGAAGTAGGTGGGAAAGATACAAACAAGCCAGGCTATATATGGAAACAATGGCTAAGAGCTCTTGATTTTTGCATAGTCCCACGGTGAGTGAATGACAAGGCCAAACCTAAAATCTGGGTTTCAGTGACTCCAAGTTAGCCTTGGTACCTTCCAAGGTAGGATTTCTTGGTTGTGATAACGTGAACGCCCTTCAGTTTGGACTGTCTTCTGAGATCAAGGTGCACTTGTAGGTGTACTTAAAGGCCTCAAGGAAAGATGGTATTACTTCATCCACAGAGACATGCCTTTGGAGCTCCTCACTCAGAGAAGTGACGCCTGTCCCAACCAGCCCACAGGGCACAATGTGTTCAAACCACGTGAGGTCTGTAGAACAGTTCACAGCCTGGCCGTGGGACGTGATGTGCCTTCCACAGCGGACTCCTGCAAGACAAGCCAGATGGTCTTAGAATGGATACTTTCTCTCCCCAGGCTTCAGGGTCTCCCTCAGTGTGCTGAGGGAACTGGACTAAATCACTGATTTTCCAACTTAGTTTCTGGAGCACCCAAGGGGTTGTGCACCGATTAGGGGACAAAGTGTGGGGAGTGGTATGGAGATTCCAGAAAATATCCTTAACACAGATTCTGTTGCTTAAAAAAAAAAAAAAGTGTGATAACTACTAAGGACCCCTTATTGTCCTGACATTGTGAAGTAACCTGATAATTCACTTTTTGTGTCTCTCCATTTGGAAAGTTGTACAAAATGACCTCTGAGGGCCCTTTGGCTCTAAATATACTACATCAATGAAGAGACTTAAATACACAAACGCAGCGGGTAGTTCTGATTCAAAGCCCGCGCCAGATACACCTCCAAGGGTCCAGTCTCTCCAAACCCCGCCCCGCTCCGCGACGCTCACCGATCGCGCAGATCTTGCGCTCGCCCAGCCAGACGCCGGTGTAGGGTGGGGGGCGTGCGCGGGCACCCGGCAGGCCCTGGAGCTCGCACAGACGCACGGCGCACGCCTCCAGCGCCGCCACGTGAGTGCGCAGGCGCAGGCCCAGACGCCGCAAGTCGAGCACCGGGTGACAAAGCAGCTGGCCTGGGCCGTGGAAGGTGGCCAGGCCGCCACGGCCTGTGGCACGCACTTCGGCGCCCAAGGCCCGCAGCCGCGTCGCTTCCTCGGGCGTTAGGCCGCCGCGCAGCCCGGCCGTGTACACGGGCCCTGCGGGCTCGCAGAGCAGGAGTACGCCCGCCTCATTCTCCGACCCGGTCTTGTTGCCTGGCTCCGCCTGCAGCCGCCGCAGCCAGAGGTCCTGCAGGGCCAGCAGCTCAGCATACGGAACCCTACCCAGCCGCACTAGCCGCACAGCGGCTGGTCGCATTGTGCCTGCTGCGGTGTCCGCGAGGCCCCGCCCCTGGCCTGCTCCCGGGGTACGCCAGGAGGGGCGGGGCTTAGGGGCCGCGTCCGGAGCTACTGCTCAGAAGTGCTTATTACAAACTCTTGAGAGACTGTGATCCTAAGACCCAGTGTCTCTTCCATTCAATCATTTCAGCAGCCAGCATTTAGAGCCTGCTTGTACCCTAGGCGCTTGATACAGTGGTGCAATGTATGGGGAAAAAATATCTGTTCTGGTAAGCTTACATTATAATAAGCATTAAATAAATAAGGTTATTTAAAATACTGATAACTGCTATGACAAGTAAAATATAACAGTAATATGAGATCACCAAGGAAGCGTCTAAGAAGGAGGTTAACATGCAGAAGGTTTATTAGAGGTGGAGGGTGAGGATGTACTTTCAAGACAACGCCTGTAAGAGTGACGGAAGCAGGGTTAGGCAGACGGAGGAGCTGAACAATCAGCAGAGGCCTGTAGCAATCCCAAAGAGTGATCCGTGGCTGGGATGACCATTCGGAGTCGTTCCAAATTAAAGAAGAAGGCTAGAAATTTATATTGTATTTACCACCGATAGAGGCTATATCTGGCATGGCGCTGTTATTAGGCAAGGCTGCTTCCTTTGGTGGAGGGCGATTCCCAGAGAGATATGATGATCCATGAGCAACCTACTCCCAGAAGTTGGCAGAATGACTGGCTAGGTCCTGAGGGTGGATCTGGATCACAGTATTCATAATGTTGCATTGAGTGTCATTTAGGCCCATTGCTAGGTGAAAAGGATACACAAGGCTTTCCCACCTCAGTAATCATAATAGCATGATAGAACCCAGTTTTTATGTTCTCAGTCTATCTTCTGAATCTGCCTTCTAAGTTGTAGCCAAGGATCGTTCAATTGAAAAAAGAATGAAAAGAAAGCAGAAAAGTATAGAGAATAAGTATCGAGAATAATATAACAAGTTATTGTTTACCTACCATCCAGCCTTGTCAAATTTTAATATTTTATTATTTTTGCTCGTCTTTTAATTTTAGAAACTAATAACATTGATCGCACCCATAGTTATCTGAAAGACATTTCATAAATACATAAAAATCCTAAGCAAATATCAAATTGAATCCAGCATTGTATAAAAAGATGAATACATCATGATGAAGTAGTGTTTATCCCAGGAATGCAAGGTTGGCTTAACATTCTAAAACCAAAGAATAGAATTTATCATAAGGGAGGAAAACCATATGATTATTTTTCATAGATGCAGAAAAAGCAGTTGCCAAAAATCAGCACCTACTGTGACTAAAACTCTTAGCAAACTAAGAAGAGAAATCCCCCAATCTGATGAAAGGTATTGTGTCAATCAGGGTTCAGATGAAAGAGAAACCACATGGGTAATATTTTAATGAAATTTTTTATTTTGAGAAAATTGTAGACTCACATTGCAGTTGCAAGGAATAATACAGAGTGAGCTTGTGTACCCTTTACCCAGATTCCCCCAGTGGTAATGTCTTGCCACTTCCACATAGGATATTGATGGTGATACAGTCAAGACACAGAACATTTACACCACCACAAGCATCCCTCATCTTGCTCTTTTATATCTACATTACTACTTAACTCCTGGCAAACACTAATCTGTGTTATATAAATGTTACATAAGCTTTCGGAATTGGAATTTTTTACTCAGCATGATTTTCTGGAGATTCATCCATGTTGTCACTTTTATCGGTAGTACATTTCTTTTTATTGATGAGTAGTATTCCATGGTATGGATGTACCACAATTTGATTAACCATTCACCTATTGAGGAATAATTAGGGTATTTCCAGTTTTCAAATATCCTGAAAAAAACTGCTGCAAACATTAGTGTACAGGTATTTTGTGTGAACATAAGTTTTCATTTCTCTGGAATAAATGCCCAGGAGTGCAATTGCTGGGTCGTAAGTTAGCTGCATGTTTAGTTTTTCAAGAAACTGCCAAATTGGTCTCCAGAATAATCGTACTATTTTATATTCTCACTAGCCATATATACATATATGCAGTTTATCAGCATTCTCGCCAGCTTTTGGCATTGGTCACTATATTTTATTTTACACATTCTGATAGATGTATAGTGATATTTCATTGTGATTTTAATTTGTATTTTCCTAATGGCTAATGATGTTGAACATCTTTTCACGTGCCGTTTTTTCATCTGTATATCCTCTTCAGCGAAATGTCCATTAATGTCTTTTGCCCATTTTCTAATTGATTGTGTTTTTTTTACTGAATTTTGAATGTTATATTCTAAATACTGGTCCTTTGTCAGATATGTAGTTTGTTAAATAATTTCTCGTACTCTTTGGCTTATATTTTCATCCTTTTAACAGGTTCTCTTACAGAGCAAAAGTTTATAATTGTGATAAAGTCCAATTTATGCACTTTTCCTCTTATGGATCATGCTTTTGGTCTAAGAAGTCTTTGCCTAGCCCTAGATCTTAAGGACTTTCTCTTGTATTTTTCTCCAAGTTTTGAAACTTTGATCTTTTTCTTCTGTGGATGTCCCATTGCTCTGTCACCATTTGTTCAAAAGGCTGTGTTTCCTCCATTTAATTGCTTTTACACCTTTGTCAGAAACCAATTGGGCATATTTGTGTGGGCCAATTTCATGCTTTCTAGAATGGAGCTTAGATAATTGATTCAAGATATTTCCTTTTTTCTAGTGTATGTATTTAGTGCTTTAAAATTTTCCCTGTCAGTGTGACTTTAGCTGTATCCCACAAAGTTTGATATGTTTTGTGTTTATTTACATTTAATTTGATGTATTTTTTATTTTCCTCAAGATTTCTTCTTTGACCCATGGATTATTTTGAAATATGTTTGTTATTTTTTGTTTGTTATATATTGAGGTATTTTATTATCTTTATGTTACTGATTTCTCATTTAGTTCCATTGTAGATAGAGAACACACTATGTATGATTCCACTTACTTAAAATTTGGGGTGTTTTTGATGGCACAGTATATGGTCTATCTCAGTATATGTTCTGTGGACACTTTAAAAGAATGTATATTCTGATGTCGTTGGGTGCAGTGTTCTATAATTGTTAATTGGAATATGTTGGTCAATGGTGTTGATGAGTTTGACATACTTGATGCTTTCCTGTCTAGTTGTTCTACCAATTGTTCAGAGAGGAGTATTGAAGTCTCCAACCATTATTGTGGATTTAACTATTTTTCCTTTGTTTTTTCCAGAAAATCAGTTTTTGCTTCACATATTTTGCAGCTCTGTTGTTCGGTGCATATCCATTTATGATTGTTATGTCTTCTTGGTGAATTGACCCTTTTATCATTTTTTAATGTTATTCTTTGTCTCTGATAATTTTTTTTGCACAGTTTACTTTATCTGATGTTTT